TTTTAGTCTGTAATACCATTTGCAAATATTAGTATGCACAGTTGTGGTGCCTGTGTTTACAAGTTATAAAGAAAGAGGCTTAAGTGTTCATCCCCTTTACACATAAAGATATCCTGGACGTGTTCAGAAAAAATGGAAGCCTTAATCTGGATCCTATGTTCATTCTCTTCATGGTACAGGATGCACATTATTTTTTCTGCAGAACCTTTTCTTACTCTGACTACTGCACAGCTCTTTCTGGTAAAATTGTCTTTAAGATTTCCTGGCTTGTGTATTTGCTTGTTACAGAACTTAAATTTGAAGTGACTGAATGAGGGAGATGTTGAAAAGAGCAAGGACAGTATTGTCAAGCTGCTTGACTACCACAAAGTTCATTTGTGGTGCCAGTTAAAAGATTTATATCAAATTGTAATCACGGTTTTTAACTCTGCATTCTTCATTTTCTGGACAATCAGCTTGAAACACTGAGACTGAACCTGCAGAAGTGCTGAGCATCCAGTTACTGCCAAAACCAATGAGAGTCATACTCTGAATATATAGCATTGCATGTAATGCCAAATACTCTGAAAAAAAGCCCCAAATGAACAGATCCCAAGCTGTCTTCAACTGAGTATGCTAGGAAGAAGATAAATGACACTGGAGGAAGAAGTCAAAGAGAATAATGCAAAGCAACATTGACTGCAGGTAGATTTGAAGCCAAGAAACAGTAATGATACAGATGGCAGAAGCAGCCAGTCATGAGAAGGGTTATTTCATATGCAAAAATCCTGGGATTCCATATGCAAAAACATCCTGGAATTTGGCAGTGGAATGGAAGAAAAGGAATGAAGGAAGGCATGGGCTAAAACAACACTGTTCCATGTCTGAATGTTTTATTACAAGGGAAAACCCCTCAGAACAGTGCAGGGTTACTCTGAGAACTTGTGGCAATCTCACATTACTATGATAATACTAATCCTATTCTCCACTTGACCCAGTCTACACCAGTCATAACATTTCAGATCTTTCCCAGGAAAAGGAACTTGGTTAATGTAAGGGCATGGGTATATTTGACATGCAATACTTATAAAATGAGGTCTCAATGCAGGACTCAAAGATGTTCTGTGACTCAATTTCTTCCCGAAGTAAAACTGTTGAATAAAATAAGAGGTATTATACTCAGTACATTTTACTTTCTGATCATATTGGTGCAAACTAGCCTCTTATGTTTCAGCTAGACAGCTTCTAATGCTTGATTTAACTTGTTAAGCTTCGCTGGGTTGTTTCAAATGACACTACAACCTTTGAAATTAACAGATAATGGAAATAAAATCAGAAATAGATTCTAGTCATATTACACAGTTATCTGTTTCACAGTAATTCATAAAGGCTGCAATGGACATCAAAGCTCGGTCCTCTACAATGTACAATGTAAAAGACAGCAGGAGAACGACTCATGTTAATGAAAGAGGGTTTCAAATCTTGGGTATTTATGTGATTTGATTTTCAATTAGTTTTAGCTAAGCATTTGGAAGTAAAGGAATAGATCAATGGTACCATGTTTGACTAAGATATAGTAAAGGACATAAAGGAGTTTTATCTATATTTTAGTCTTCAAATATAGCTTTACTTTACATGGACTATATCATATTATACTATAAAATACCTACTGCAACTGTTTGAAAAGTAGTTCATCTTCACATAATTAAAAGAACACCTATAATGTTAATCAACAATTCTGAGTAAACACTGATCAGTTGCCTCACGATTCATTAGAACTCTCCTCACTAGAAACTTCCAGACAAGGACCATGGATTTGAATGCACACAGATCAAAAATAAGGGCCTATCAGAATGGTACATCAGCTAAATGCAAAGCCTAATGTCCCAGCACCAGTTCTGGAGCTTAAACTTGGCTTCAGAAGTGGGCAAATGACCAGCAAAGGAAAAGCCCAGCAAACAGATCACTGTTAACTTGCATTTTAGCACTGGGAAAGAG